TATCTTTCGGTCCCTCCTCATCGTCAGGTGAATAGTTGCATGTCACATACACGGTGAGACGGGATCGCTCAGAACGATACTATGCGAGTGTCTGATGCCCGGAATTTCGATCCTGTGTCTGTGAATGATAGCGTTCTTGATGGATCAAGCTGTGTCGAGTATATTCATTTAACACCTTAGCAAACTTGGTACATGCGTCACAGTGCCTTATGCTGACAATATAAACGATTGAATGTGTAGATACGCCTTGCATTTGGAAGTATGCACTCTCAATCGTACGATCCTAGTGTTGTTTTCTTAAAGGTTACTTGGGCAAATAAAACAACTGCATAATCAGTGAGTGAAAGAATGCACTCGCGGATTTAGCTGACGGGACACCGTAGGTATACTAGTTCGGAGAGCGTAAAAATATGGCCTCTGGATTTTGCGACGCGTTTCACCAATGCTTATGGACTACGATAGGCTACGATAGGTAAATTATATGTGACGAGAGTGGACAGTCTATCCACAACTTGTCAAAACGCTTGGAGCGGTGGACCGAGAATTTTAAAAGGCACTTTAATCGGCCGGAGTTGTCAGATTTCTCGCAGACATGTGATCGCCCTGCTCCCTGGGTTGTCTCTTTGGCTCCGCCATCTCGCTCAGAAGTCGAACGTGAGATCACACTGTTGAACTTGAGTAATGCCTGAGGACCTGATGATCGTCCTCCAGCCCTCTTCAAATTCAGGGGACCTGCTCTTGTAGATGATTTATATGACCTACTAGTGAAACTGTTGGAGCAGGAAACTGTCCCAACCGACTGGAACCGCTCCGTTATTGTCCCCATCTTCAAAGGAGGCTCACGTTCGGAATGCCGCACCTATAAAGGAATCAGTGTGATATCCATTGTCTCCAAATTGCTTACCTCTGTCACCCTTCACAGACTGATTGGCGCTCGTGAAAGCCATTTTCGTGAAGAGCGAGCTGAGTTTCATTCAGATCGTGGTTGCATCGATCAAACCTTTACTTTGTGCCAATTGTTGGTGCACCGTCACATATATTGGCGGCCCACCATTGTCGTGTTCCTCGACATCAGACGTGTCTTCGATTCTGTGGATCGACGTGCTATTTGAAACTGTCTGCTTAGGAAAGGTGTGCCCGAGAAATATACAAATATTATTCGAGCATTATACGCGCGTAACCCGGGCAGAGTGAGGGCTTACGGTAAGCTGTCGCCGTGCTTCAATATCTCCAGCGGTGTGCGACAAGGATGCCCGCTGTCACCTTTTCTTTTAAACTTCGTTAATGATGAAGTTATGGGAATCGCGTTCACAGGACACGACTTGGAAGGTGTGGATCTGCTCCCAGGCGAACGACTTCTTGACTTGGAGTATGCTGACGATTATGCCCTCATCTGTGATAGCTCTCAAACGTGGCAAGGGTCACTGGACAGATTAGCAGTGGCTGTCATCCGTTTCCGTCTATGCTTTGCACCCTCGAAGTGCAAAGCTTTCCTCCATTATTGGCAGAGACCGCCTCCTGCGCTGACCCTTGGTTTGTATCAGCTAGAGGTCATTCAAACATTCAACTACCTGGGCAGTTTTATCAGCGCCGATGGAATCGAAGAGGAGGTTACGAACCGTACAGCAAATGCTCGTGGCGCTTTTGCTAACCTTCGCCACCTATGGCGCGGGCACGACATCACTCGTACGTTCGACCTTACTGTAGGTTGTTGTGAAACCTAGCCCATTAGATCGACAGACATTAAGAGGCCAGTTGCGTTCTACCACCGGTGCCTTCGCAGTTTCTCTCACATCTGGTGGGATCACTGAGTGAGTTATTAGCGTTTTCAACGCCATGTTTTTGGCACAGGAAGAGGAAATGAGCCGCACAAATCGTTATTTCACGCGCCAGGCTCCGATCGCTGGGTCACGTGTTGCGCATGCAAGCACACCGACTCCCGCGAGGTGCATTATTTTCGCGTTGGGGGTGTGGATGGAAGAAGAGGAGAGGTGGCCAAGCGATGACTTGGTCAGGAGGAATGAAGGTCGTATGTTCGAAGTTGGTTTCGGTTGAATCCTCTCGGCTCCGTAATTGGTGTCCGAAAGATGATGAACACGTTTTGCTGGATGCACTTTTTGAAACGGCTAAGAGTCGACTTCATTGGCCTTTGTGTTGTGAGTTCCTTTGTCCCCCCCTCGCTTAGCCTCTCCTTCAACGACGATCTTACTTCTTAGCATATTATTTATTTTACATAATATATATTTTTACATTACCGGCTGGCAGCTATTCTGAACGGCGCCTATCCTTTATTGGTGGCTCAACTGGCGTGCCTCTGTTGCAGCTTTTTCTTTCCTTATCTATCGCGGCACAATGGTTGAGGTATTTTCCACCTCTTGCTTACGGGTATAATGGTGATGATGTTAAGTGTTGCTTCCGGATTGGCCCACACTGGAGCATGAACCATAGTATCTGTACTATTTTCTTCCGTGAAGACTTCGTAGAATATATAAGACACAACACTATATCTAGTATGGAGCGCTGGGGTTTATGAGCGAATTGGTAAACTCCACTGGTATGGGCGTGCGTTAAAATCCGAGTAACAAATAGCTCCTCGACTACCTTGAACATCCCAGGCGTACATGCACTAAGATGACGCTTGTGGGTCTTATTCGTAGGTACTAGTGATATTGTATTTCTTATCTGAATCTCGGGGAAGACACCAGTCATTAGACACTACTTGGTAACATGGCGAATGTCATGAGAGATCATCGGAGTACTCTAAACTACGGTCTAACCTGCTATGGCGATCACCTGTCTGTGGCAACCAGCCAAAAACATCCCCAACGTCTTCTCCTATAAGTAATGTCCTTATACATGAAGCTGTTTATGGCGACCACCTGTCCAAAGCGACCACTTTTTGTCAGTCCCTTACAAAGGTTTGACTGTACTATTGATGTGGCGCTGGACTACTTCTTCTTGTGCGATAGACGGGAACATTGTTTGCTATGCAAAATCCAATTGCCGGTCTAGTTTGGTGAGAAAGTCCACCAGCTGTATTTAAATTAGTGTCTAACGAATTCCATATGTCCATTGAAATGGCCATCGACAAGGGGCAACGCATTTGAGTTGTGACAGTACTGCAGACGAACGATGGTGTTCGAATGTTTTCAACGCCGACGACGAGGCATGCGGAACCATGTAGACGTTTCTGATGTTACATTGGAGGCAGCTCTAGTACTTCAGTTCGTATCCAATCAGAAACAAACTTATTTAGGTGTTTGTGTAACTGGACGGTAGGGTTGCATGATCGCATCAGCGATAGTTAACCTTGATGATTATAACTCGGGCTCTTCTGTGGCCATCCATTTGATTACTTTTCGGATGCAACCAACTTTTAAGCGGATGCACCGCTTGAATTTATTTCAACTGCATGCTGGCCCCACCGATGTACAATGAATCTAGTTTCTTTGACTCACGTCATCAAAGTAATAACAAAAATACAAAAATAATAGTACTACTAACAACAACAATAATAATAAATTGACATGAGCAAGGAGCGAAGTTGTCAGACTACTTAAAAGCTAGCATTATGGAAATGAATGCAAGCGTCGAGCAAAATGCTACAGGACATCCGACCAGTTGTGTAGCCGATTGCAAGGGACCCATCTCGACGTTTGTTGAGCACCAAATCTACTCAGCCTATACTCACATTTCTTTCCCGTATCGTAGACCCGCGACTCAGGGATTGCATCCGAATAGGCTAAGAGTAAGTAAGCGGACACATCTAAGCAGCCGGCTTACGGTCGCACGGGGTTCATAACCGTTGACCGTTTGAGTTCAACAAGCACTCTAGCGAGGCAACCTGAGGCTTGTTGTCCAGCTCCAAGTGATAGATGTTTGCGTCACTCACTCAGTTCTCCCACTATGCGTGAACTACACTGCGCAGGTTTCAGTGATCAACCACGACCAGTTTGTTATTAACGTTTGTGACCGGTGCGTTCCGTTTCTTCGGAAATGTTTCCCAACAGTTCGTTTGAATAAAATACTGCGTTTGTGGGCCACCTTCAGCAAGACTCGAATTTCGCGTATTTTTCCCGAAACGTCATCAATGGAGATGGAATGGCATTAGCGATTTTAGCAGTAGTTCCTCTCAACACAATCTCAAAAATATATTCAGAAAAACCCGCAGTATATGATATATGACAATATTTCAGTAATGACAGTACCAATGGTTTCGGTGGCTTCGCATTGGTCTTATTCGTTTCTCTGTCAAACTGGTCATGTAGTAAGACTTGATAAGTAAACCACTTTATATTACAAGCCACCCCCTTAGATTTATTTCATCCTTACAATCTTATTACTCGTGAAATCAATTCAAGATTTATGCAACCAAATGGATGCATTTTCTGTATTTATATGCTATCTACCACAAATGTGCTGACACAGCATCAGTAAATATGAAAATTTTTACAGGGGTACAAACAGAATGGGAAACAATTGCACAGATGTCGCTAGAGTAAACAGTCCCGCGTCTTTGTGCAATGATCCCGTATTGATGGAAATAACTATGAGCTTTTTTTATCCGGTTGACAAGACCAACATTTCTTACAATGTGTCTTGACAGCTCACTTCATTTGGATGAAAATAGCAAACTGCGAGTAATGCGCCCTGTCGGATAATTTTTCTACGAATCAGGGACTTTGAAATTGTTCAGCCACAGAATTCGTCAAAATACTCATACCATATTTATACGTTCGCAGTAGTTAATGCGAAAAACGATGTTTCGGGCGAGCGACACTGTCTGTCTTAGGTGACACACTCTGAAACCATATAGTGAAAACATCCAGTGCATTTTATTATATCGATACTGTTCTGTTCATAACTTCGATGCTTTTGAAGTGCTTCAGTTCGTCATTTCCTGTATATGGCTACCTAGAATTTGTAGTCACTTTTCAATTCCATCACTCCTAGGTGAAATGTTTATGCTGTCATCTATGGGTGCTCTCCTTTTTATTTAGCTGGGGCGGACAAATTCAAGCGGTCAAACTGGATGTGCGTTGCTACCTTGACCGGTTATCACACTGACACCGTTTTTGACTTGGCTTGGTAAGTTTTCTCACACATCAGTATAACTTTTGGAATTATTCTTTTTCTCTAGCACCTATTTCTAACGATCTATGGCCAAGCAACATCTTCCTTTTTACATATCGTGTGGTGTGTAACTCCGACCTTTGTTAAACTCTCATTTGCTACCAATTTTGAACGATGCGCATCGCTTCCCCTTACTACACATTAACGCACTGATGATGTTGCCTCGACTAGTGTCGAAACCCCTGGAACTGCTTGCCAAACTCAGCGAACAGTTCGCCTAACTAATGAACAAACTGAGCTACCCACACTTGCTTCTATAACAACCCCTCACAATTACTCTTCCTTCTCGTGTGTAGTAGGTTGCAAATGTTGTTCCCCAAGTCGATCTTCCTGGCCACGCTGATAGCCTGTGCTCAAAACTGCATTTCACCTTACATTGGACACTATTCCCTGATTGTCACGTACAGGCCTTATCGAGATCGCTCTGCAACGTCATGTGATCGTCCACTGTCTTTATGTCCTACCAGATCTTGACGTCGTCTATACATACATATTTATATACCGATGGTGCTTGGATATATATATATATATATATATATATATATATATATATATATATATATATATATATATATGCTGAGACTGATGCTGCATTCTTGATGCGTCTTCACCGCAGTTGGGCTAAACCAACTTACACTTAAACTAGGTCCTTTTAAGCTGGATAAATTTCATTCCACTTTATTTGGTTTGTTCTGCCTACCTGAATAATTTATTAACTGGTCACCTTGCTTACGCTGATTGCGCTTATCTTCCATAACTTTGTTGCGTTTCTAGCATTTTTAAGTAATTTGTGGACTTTTTTTACTTATCGCTTATTCGTTGCTAACCAACTTACTTCATATGCTAATTTAGCGAAGAGATATGTCACCGTACCTGTATGCATTATTCGATTTATTTTATTTCATCTGGTCGTTTCAAGTAATTGGCTGTTGCTTGCTATTCCCGGTGTGGCTGCGCTTGATGTGCATGTTGACAAGGTGCCTACCTGTCTATTACCCGCTACCCCGTCCATACTGGCTCCAGCAGACAGTTGATCGTTGCTGGAGGGCACGGGGTGCACGATCCTTGTGTCCGTGCTAGGCTCGAAGAGCGGTTCCATGCACTCAGTGTGGAGCGGACTACGGTCCAGCCACCGCCTTGTGTGCGCTAGATTCCCCAAATATAGCGTGCTTGCGTTTGCCCGTGAAGGAGTGTGGGCCGGCTCCGTTGCTGGAACGTGGCTCCCATCCACATGCCTCCCGGTCTTATTCCTCCGGGTTTACACTGGATATGGGGTGTGTGGTTGGAGCTGTGGGTGGTGCAGCGTAAGCCACTCATGGTCCCTTTGTAGGCGCAGGCGTCCTGTGGCTGGCCACAGTGGTAGGCAAATCCGAAACCGGATGCCGCCAACCATATATATATATATATATATATATATATATATATATATATATATATATATCCGGCAAGAATGACAATATGGAATTTTTTTAGTGGAGCACCGAATGTCATGTAATTGTTGGCAATAACAATCCTTGACTGCATCCGGCCTACAGTTTGTTGGAGCGTAGGCGCAGATGATAATTAAGTCGCTTGTAACATCACGACGCTTACTTAAAATGAACCTCGTATTCTGACTGCACCTAACCGACTGTTGACTGTGATCCAGTCGATCAAAGCGGACTCACTCTTGTCACTCAGAGCAAATACCCAACACCAGCTTGACTAGAAGCGACAGCTTCTGGGCCCCCTGAAAGGCGCAAATGGTATTTGACGTCAGGGTTTGCAGGGGAGGCCATTCTGATGACGGTATTGGAGTCTTACCATCTAGATGTCTACCGAGCGTGTCTCAAGAGTGCGGGTCAGACATGCTTGCCGTCCGATCTGCGTCAGCATGCACACATTGAACGCTGCGAGGCTGAATGAAAAACCAGGTCGAAGAAAAGCTGGAAGCTTCGCTCTAGTGTGAAAAGGCTGTGGTGCCGGACATCAAACACCAAGAGTTGGACTCATACGACCAATGAGCTGCTTTTGGCGGTGACTGGGGAGGACATAAGCGTAGTTGAGTAATGAGTGAGTGGAGATGCAGCAGTTTGAGCAGTAGGGTAGGTAGACATAGCAATAGTGAAAGCAGTAGTGTTGTCCGTTCATGGTTCCTCAATACGCGTGACACTCCCAGGTTGCACAGGCAGAAGTACAAGGTTGTCTTAAGGGGCTCTACCCCGAACCTTTGATCAAGGATCTAACCTACAAGACAGCAGGGCGATATGAGGGCGTCGCAACCCGTTGGGAGCCGGTGACTAAACAAGCGGTTCATGTACCTTTCTGTCCTACAACAGACCAGGTGCACAACACACCCTGAAGCTACAGTGCCACGCAGGGAGGGGCAAGGGGTAATGACTTTATTTAATGTCGAATCACCTTCGCCACGCTACAGTGTTGTTAAGCGGATGTATGTGGCTTTTTATAGGGAGAACGCTTGCCAAGGCGAAAACCCACCACGTCCTGGAACACTGCAACCTAACCATTCACTGGAGCGGGATAATCCCGAACCAACCAGCTGACACCATGATGAGGTTGTTCGGCCAGCCAGTCGAAGTTCGACTGAAGTACACTAGCAGGATTGTTAACGAATACCTTGAATAAACGTGGCACCAGTACCGATCCTTGGGGTACACTGGATTTTAACTGGATCGGAAATTGCTCTGCAGCTTCTCACATTCCTCCGACGTTGAATGGGAGAGTTGTTTATCCAACCCAGGACAGGGTCACCAGTTCCGTAGCTTTGAAGATTTGAAGAAGAGTGCGATGGGCCACGGGGTTAACAACTAAAGAAGTCCATGTTCACGACGCCGATTTTTATTTTGGCATCGACAGTTTTCTCCCACCTTGCTCGGGTTAGCAGCAAGTTTGTAGTGTAGGGCTGCTTTCGGCGGAATCCGTGCTGCTGTGACTCTGACGTGGTGATAACGGCTTTAATAATTTCGGATATGACCGAGAGAAACGTTGAACGATAGTTTGACCGCTGTGCTCGATTTCCCACTTTTGTACTTAGGAGTAACTGGTCTGTGTTTACAACCTTGTGGGAACTTGCCTTTCATTAAGCCATCGCTAAGAGAACCGAGATAATGATTCGGCGACGTTTATGGCGACGGTCTTTAGTGTCTTCGGACTTATTGAAAGTGGTATATTCTCAGCTAGATGAGACAATTCCCAGCTAAGCTGGTCCGATCATAAGGTACAAAGGAGATGAAAACTGATTTTTCAAAACTGCTGTACAAGAACACTTGCGATTCCACTTCTACTGATTCTTGCGCCATTGATGTCGTTTCAAAATTCTTCGGAATTCACCACGGTTGCAAATCGTTCAGATACCTTTAAGCGGATGGTTATAAAAAGAAAGCAAAACAACCACGTGTTAGGAGGTGGGTTACAAGATGCATGGGGAAAATATAATTAAAACATTTATAAGTTTAGTATCTAACAATAATTTTAAAAATAGTGATAGTGTGGGAGCTGACGAGACAAAACGGTAAACGTTTAAACTGAAACATAAATCAATTAATTTTTAATGGCGAATCTCACATATGATTACACAGGGCAAATGGAATTACGTACATAAATTGGATGATTTAAGTGCAGAGCATCAATAGTTTACCTTTTCACTTGGTCCACGTCTTGCAGTCGTCACTCATGCCTTTCACGTAGCTGTGTAAGGGAACGGGGTAGCTTATCCAACCCACCAGTGTGCGCATGATTTTCAAATGCCGTCAGTGGGTCTTCAAGGTAAGTAAAAGCACAGTAAGAAGCAGTTTAAATGAAGAAAAATGTCAAAATATATCCCATCCATCCAGCCCATCGATTTGGTCATGTTTTCATAGGCCACAAATTGGCTATCCATCTGAGTAACACGGAAAATATAATAAACAAAGTGAAACCGGGAGATACACCTCATCCAACCTATCGATGTAGCAAAGTTTTCATAGGTCACCGGTGGATCATCAATTTGAGTAATTCCGAAGGATGTGACAAAGTAGGATAAAGGAATGAGAGACAAAGCTATGTAGCAACACAAGCACATAATATGTGGACATTACATTTCACGTTGTGTCGACAAACCCTTCTCCCCATTTCTATCCGTACCTTTGTATTGCGAATTTCGCAGATGCTTAGATGTTCTCAGACCCGTTCTCGTACACCCACTCGTCTGTGTAACTAACGCGAAACAGTTCTTTTATTTTATTAACAGTTAGGTATTCTTTTAGTTGCATGTTATATGTTCGAAGCGAAGATGACTTTCTGATGGCTGGAGACAATCTATTCCACAGCGTGGGATATTTTTGTTGTACCGCAGACGTGTGCGGCAACGAGGTAGCTTTGTCAGATAGTCTTTGTTTATTAGGTCATACGGTGAAGCTTCTTGGAATACAGGCTGAGAGTAACCAGTGTATGTCTGTCCATCAACACTAGAAGAGCTGTGCACGCGTACGGATAACAGTTTTTACCTCACATTCACTGCAGTAACGGATACGTGGCCTAATTCTCGGGACGGTGTGAGCTGTCAAACATGGGTGGGGTGACAATTCCCCATGGAGCGTGCGGATGAATTGTTCCGGAAATGCGTTGAGCTCCTCTTAAGTAGCCAGCGCCAGGCTGTTTCTTGCACATGGAGATGGTATTTGACGCTTTACACTGCAGAGATTGTTTACTTGCCTGGACAGTATTAGCGGATTAGTATGGAATTTAAGTGTCGAATCTTGTTAGTGCTTTAGTTTGCATTTGCAGGCGAATTTGGCGCAATGGTTTCTCTCAGTTATCTAGGCATCCCCGGTGTGTACATGTAGACAGTCATTATAAGCTCGCCAGGTGGTATCTCTTACGGCCATTCATAGTCTAATCTGACTCCTCAGAACCAACTTCGTTTGTTTCAGACGAAAGACTGGTTTCCGACGCGTTTCTTACTAGCCCGTTGAACTTGGTGTCAACTTTCTTCTAGACAACGTCGGGAGGCTGATCTGTTAGGTAGGACAAGTTAGTTGCTCAAACGAGGCCAGACCGTGTGCCCTAATGGATGACAACGTAGGCTCTTCGTTGTTTTCACCGATGTATTCCGCGTATCGAATGTCATGGAAGTGCGGCGTCCAATGATTGCTACGGCCAAGCGGTGCGCCTACTTTAATGCTATCGATCATTAACTCCTCGTTGAGGAGCGCGAAGTCTGTCGCACATGGTTCGCCATCCGTTCCGAATTTTCTCAGAGAGATGACTTGATTGCATAACGGTAAACCGGCGATTACCTCTTGAAATTCTACCTTTAATTGTTTCCTTACGTAAGCTGTGGCTTCGACTGCATGCAATTGTAAGTTCAAATCAGAAGGACGTGACTATATGACCATGCCAAAACACACCTAGTAGCAGAAGTCACGAGGTGATCCATCTCCAAATTAGACATCGGAGAGCGGGAAACTTTCGCTATTAAACCCGCGTCATCAAGTCCCAGATGCAAATTGCACGAAGGAGGACCAAGAACTTGGGTTTTGGATCGTGGGGAAATCTTGTCACACAGAGCTATCTGAACATCGGTGGTTTCAGTGTTCAGCATGTTTCGGTCACCATAACCATATCCTGACTCATCGAAACCTGACCATTACAAAGCGCAGTTCGCTTACGGAGAAAGTCTTGTGCGTTGGTGTACCAGAAGCTGATGACGTCACAGGCTAGAAACGTATTTGTGGATGCAGATGTCTGGTGCGAGGGTCGGCTGACTCTGACTTTTGTGGTTGAATCGTTGACACAGGTTTCGGGGCTATTCCGGTTTGGTGTGTAGAGTGCTCAGTGTCATCAGGTGTCTGAAAACCTAGACCTTCCACCTTCAGAGGCATTTGACAGCGTCAGAGCTTTGAGCTGCACACTGACGGGCTCGCACACAAGGCATGCTTGTTTTATGGTATATTGCCATTTTTTGACCAGGTGTCCATCGCCTTTATACGTATTTCGGATGACAACTTTTTGCTTATCTAATGCCACACTGATTGCGCATTCTGCCGTGGTGTTGGTCTGAGTTGTAACTCATCACTGGTAAACCAGATTTTTTTATAGTTTGTTGATGGTCGTAACCTTGCTGTCGTACTGGCGATTGCCTTTTCAAGGGAGAGCACTTCACAGATGAAGCACCATTCATCCCAGTTATGTCCCTTGGCCTCTAACTCACCGTTCGGGGCCACTGTAAACAAGGGTCGTTTTTACGTCTTTCGTTTACGGTAGTCATCTTGGTTTTGTTTGCGTTTCTGGCTTTCGTTCCAAGGAATATCTGAAAAATGCGAATATCGCATAGAGTATCTCGGAGACGAGTGGCTGACAGGAGAATGGCGTCTGATTCATCCTCTAGGTAAAGCCTTACTTGTAGTAGTAGTGCTTCACCGGGATGTACTGGGATGGAATGACAGACGAGGCTCATCGTGCTGGCCGGTTTAACTTGTACTCCTATTTATTGACGCATGCAGTCCCACTGTTTCCGATTGAACGTTTTTTCTTTGATCTAGTTTGCCTGGGATTTCTTCACATTGGGACATATAACAATCAGAGTACTCTTATCTTATGTTCTCTCTTTTTACGAGTGTTTGTTTTCTTTTCGTGACAGCAAACTGTATCCCACTTCTTGTGGTAGTATTAGCAGCAGTAACTGCTCCTGATTGGACAGCGGTCGTAGCTATGATGGATGGCGAGTGTGTCATGTGGGCGGAAACAACGGACGTGTATGTTGTCGGTCCTTCAGCAATATTGGATGTACAACTAGGCTCTGAGGAAGCATGTGCCACGTGTAGTGCATCATTAAGCGTAGCCGTTCGTAAGTAGCAGTCGGCACTGTCTGGGTGCACCTAGCTCTGGATCATTGCTCTTCGTCCACTCTAGCTGCTCTGTTCTGAATTGGCGTTTGTTGTTTGGCATCAAGTTCGAGGCATTACTTCGTTTGGGTCCAGCGGGACAAGTAGATCCAGTCGTTGCTGGCTCTACAATCCCTTCTAATCTGTGCCAACCCGGTTCTGCACTGGACGATTGGAATATTCGTGTACTCTACGCGAAATCAAACAAGATCGATCGTATTATTGCGTCTCTTTATCTCGCTTAGGGTTTGGTAATCGCATTTAGAATAGTGTTGATAACAATTAGAGCATGCCAATCTAATTCGTATACACTTTTTAAAACAAAATAAAAGAGCCCTTCTCGATATTACGAGACACGCCTTCAAACGCACGCTCATGATACTACAAAGGTGTAACCTCAGTAAAGGTACGGAAATGTCACAAGTTAACCAATATGCCATATATATATATATGGTATATGCGTCTATGTGTTAGTCATCATGTTGTGCGAATTTCTTACTGTTACTGTAAATTTGTTTGCTCGATGCATTCGTCAAGCTAACTACGGCTTTCAACGCCACCGTTAGCATTTCATTGTGCTAATTTACTTTTAGCTTTCCGTGAAGAGGATCTTTGTGTCACTATCGCCAATTGAGTTTTGTTACCGTGTATGCCGCTTGCCGTAAGGTCTTTCCGAGCTGGCCGATCGCAAACATGGTCGAGCAAACTGATGGTGGAGCATACGTCAGTTAGTTGAATGTTCTGTCTGATGGACGGGGCGCGACTTGACACCGTTGCACACAAACGCATGGAACCACGTACACGGGTCAAGGGATTGACGACTGGAGGTTTGGATGCTTCAGTTTCTATAAAAAGTAAACGTTTATTGATCGCTGCGATTGCGTAGAAGTTGATCAGTCGATGAGGTCTATACGTTGCATTTAGACCTGGCACTGGACACATTTGCAAACGTACGGAATGCCAGAGATGACAAAGCACTTGATGGAGATCCGTGGGTGCGTCTTTTCCTATAAGGGTAAATGTTTAGATGTGTACGTAGAATGTAAGCGAGTTACACACTTGAGTTTCAGACAAAACTTTTCCGAACTTAGCTAGGCGAATAAAGTGATAAAGCGAGGGAATACTTTTCATCGCTGTCGATCCGCCGGAGAGATCTGGTATCTCTTATTCGTTTATGTTCAAAGTGGTTAGTGTGCGATAAGATGGGGGGGGGTGTAAATCCAGCAGAGAGGAGCCATCCACGGCAGCAAAAGGATTTGTTGTAATTAGTATCTGACTACCCTGTTTGGCGTTCAGTGGTATATTGTTCCTGGCTCCTCTGTAAAAGTATTCACAGTGTGATTGTCGCACTTAGCAGAGCGGCCTAGAGAAATCTCTTCGGGAGGCTGTAATCAGCCTCTTATGACGCAGTTTTTCGCTACTTTGGGGCATGCCCTCTCTGAGTACTGTTCGGCGATCATCACAGATATTTTTGTGTTTAACTTCCCGTCTTCTCGGTTGTTATGCTTGTTGTTGGTTGCATGATTGTTCATGAGAGTTGCCTGCCTGACTTCGATCTATTTACTGACTTTGGATCATTCCTCGCCATACCGAAACCGACACTGTTTCTCCACATACATGTATTGCTCATACACGTTCGCAATTTACGGTTCTGAAACCTTTCTGTACATGTAGATTACCCACCAACCTTGGATTTATATATCCCCTTGTCACTCTCAGTCCCGTTGATCGCTCTTGTCGGTAAAATTATTCCTTGTTGGAGGGCATATCCTTGGAGATTCTTTTCGTTGAGAAATCTTGCTTCAACAGTCTACGGGCTTGTGTCACGACGTATAGAGGCCTCCTTTTCACAACGTAGCATGGCAAGTGGGGTTCATTGTCTCTGTTCTATTTCTTTTACTCTTCAGTGGCCCCTTCTACTCCGCCTGCTGCTGTGGCTCCACCATGATATCGTCTGACTGGGAGTTGGTCGTGTTTATCCTGATCATAAGACGACCAGCCTACCCCATACACCTTACTATTCGATCATGGGCATTTTAGCCCTGAATTGATCCACCAATAGACGTTACTTTTCTCATCCTCGATTTCATTGTTTATTTAACTGTGGTGTAATTTGACCGAAATTGAAGTACCGATGGCAGGTTATTTTCTGCGCTGATCTTCCCAAAGCTACCTTTGTTCTCCGTCTGCCTCCGCTCGATAACCTGACGCGGACCACTGCACTCTCTAATGTGTGCTTTGTGTTTCCGAAGTGCGCATTGTTACTGCAACGCTATCCCAACGCATCATCACTTTTACTATCGCCCCGGAGCTATCGGACAGGGTTGGTCGTTGACAGCTGTGTTACCTCCGGAAGTCAAATCATCAAAGCGGATGTACTTTGAGCAGCCTTTCCAGCATCAATCCTCTCTATAGAGACACAGCGTTCTTACTTGCTTGTCGGTCAAGATTAGATACTGCAATGCTCTCCAGTGTAGATCAGCGAGATAGACACTGCGAAACTGCCTGACATGATCAATCGGTTCACCTGTTTAGGTGGTTGCATCATCTGCATCACCCTTGGTATAATCGGGGTTCTCGTTTGTAGTATACCCAGATACCATTCAAAGTTTTATCCAAGTGACTTAAGAAGCGTTCCGACAATCATTCTCCTTACGCGGCCATTTTTACAATTGTTATTTGAATACTTTTTGTATTAGGTACAAGCCAAAGTCGATAGGCGCTTGGTTATGATCGCTTCCTAGCGTGTTGCTGAAACTCTGCAGAGACCCCTTAATATCAATTCTGTGGCTGATGAACCGTGCTAATGTGATGATACAGATTCTTTGATATATTTGAAAGGTTGTACGCAACCGGCTGCCACTGCTTTTTTCCTTATTCACGTTCGTTTGTTCTTTTAATCGCATCATACACATGATGCCCGCTATATTGTACACGCTGTCATACTGTTGCATTCGCCTCACTGCTTCCCGCTCCTCCTGTCAACTTACCGCCGTTACCTAAAGGTCGCCCGACGGTCAGATGTTGTCCACTTGCGGTGCGGACAATCGTGTTTGTGTTTTCCGATTGCCCGATGAGGGCCTCGTAACCCAGGCAGGAAAACTGCACTTCTCGGAACCTTTGACACTGTGGGCGCACAATCCGAATGCACACACGGAGGATGTCAATTGCGTACAGTGGCAACCTGTCGTAACAAAGGCGGGGAGCGGAGAAACGACTCCGAATGATTTCTATCTGTGCACTGCTGGAGATGATGGGGTTATCTCCTTCTGGGTGCTGCCTGCCGCCACATCTTCCAATGCATCTGCCTCGTCTACTGTGGTCTAACTCATTGTGTCATAGCACTGCCGGGCATTTGTCAATTTATAGGGACGCACCACATGAACTATCTGACGATCCCTTATCTTCTTCACAGAGCAGCTTCGAATTGATTTTTCCTACACACTTTGTATCTATCCTATTTGTACATGTCATCCAAGCTGTAACTGGTTACGAGTTTGTACATCAAAGACAACTTTCACTTTTGTTTTTGGATTTGAAATTTCTAATGTTTGCAGTTCTTCATGCATTTCTAATCTGCACACGATTTTTTAAACATTCGCATCAGTCATTTCGATCACTCGGACCTTTCGGAAATAAATTATTTATTTATTTATGATGTCTTTGTTTTCCTTTTTGCTCACACATAGAAATATTGTGCATGTATGTGGGTAGATCAGAAAATGTATCGACCGACAGAAAGAAGTCAGCTAGCCAGGTCTTTCTTTGTCACCTGTCAGCATTATCTCCCAAAACAGTTTAGCGTTGTACAGGCATTGCTATCCCTGTGTGGGAAAAGGTCAGGGAATTCTATAAAAATAGATCCGCAGCACTGGTCAACTCATCAGCATTGACCCCCGAGGTAAGATTTCCGTTTACGGAACAGATAAAATCTAATGGTGCCATGTCTGGTGAATAAGTAGGTTGTGGTAACAATTCAAAGCAACAGATGGCGGCTTCTGACACGGCCACTTGGGAAGTGGGGACAGGTGTGTTGTGATGCAGCTAAATACCTACTGCTGCGATCCTCCCTGTCCGTTTTTCTTCGATCGCTTGTTTCAGTTAGCGTAATTCTGTAGCGTACTACTCATCTGTGATGAGCTGACCCGTCAGCATGATTACACCTTTATTGTCCCGGAATACAGGGGGGAGAGAGAAGAACCGGTGTGTATCCTTTGTTTACTTTGAGATTTTCTTTTTTGTTCAAAGTGATGAACCCAAATTTCACCTTGGTTAACAAATCTTTTGAAAAAATCGTGGGATTTGCCTTGAAATGAGTCAAAAATTACTTCGAATTTTCCAGCCTTTTCAATTTCTCATTAGATGTCAACATTCTTGACATCCATCTTGCAGCCAGCTTTCTTATCCCCAAGATGTCCGCTCGAACAGTATGTACTGAGCTATAATAATAGGTATATTTCTCATCGAGTAGGAAGCTGTGTCCATATTTGGCACAAATCATCTTTTTACGGCAAATGTCTTGCTCATGCATGAATGTGTGTGATTTTCATTGCTTTTACTGTTTCAAGGGTTTGCATTAACTCACAGGTGTGTTTCAACGCAGTGTGTACTAGTTGGATTAGAGGATAGTAAGAGCACTAAGGATGTAATACACTGCATGCTATATTTTTATTTTACCCATCATGTGTTGTCTGGACCTTCTTGGAACAAATCATCCAGTGATCTCTCCTAAGAGAACAGGGTCATAATCGTGTGCAACTCTAGGTACTTGACAAACTTAACGCAAGAGACCGTTGCGACCACACACGATCTGATTGTGACTGGGAGCTTATTCCACAGGACAGCATATCTGATAAGGAAAAGCTGAACCGCAGATTTACCCTGCATCTGGGTACGCTCAGGGTCAAGTCCTTATTGCATAGCTCTGTTGTTAAACTATGTTATAGTTTTAGGGAGGGCAAATACCAACGGGCATTTTGATGAATCATGTTGTACAGAAGCATCAGGTTGGATCTCCGTCTTCATAATCAAAGCGGATGGAGCTGAATTGTTTGCAGTGCTCCCGATAGTTCTTAGTGCATGTTTTGCCTAGCAGACGTCTGATAAATGACCTTTGTATGCTTTCCAGCGATACTCTGTCAGATTTCCTCATGCTGCCACAAATGATACTGCTGTATTCCACAACAGGACGAGTGTGTATTTTGAAGTGTTCCACTTTGCCTGGGACTATGTGGATCTTATGCAGTGTAGTAGCCATTGATTTGTTGGCCCTAGCCAGCTAGTATTCCACTTGTTCCGAAAAGTTGCAAGTACAAGAATACCTGATTCCCAGGTCGTGGGTAGACAGCTGTACACCAAGGTGTTCGACGTTGAGTGTAATTTATCCCTTGGGTATCGAACAACCGCGATACATGATGCTAGATTTTTTCGCCGAGAACTTCATCATCTAAGTGACACACTATTTCTGTAGAGAATGGAAGTATGCCTGTATGAGCAGCAGTGTATCTTGAATTTCAGCTCGTGGGAATTTGTAAACTATCTTTATGTCATCTGCAAATAGGAAAGGCATGCCATGTCTGATAACCGCACTGATCTCATTGACGTAGAGCAGGAACAGTAACGGACCAAGTACACTCTCATGAATGACACCACTAGTGATTGGACGTGATGAAGAGTGATGGTCAACTGTGGTAACTCCTTGAGAACGGCCGCTTAGGTATGACAATAGCCAGCCCAGGATTGGGTCCTGGATTTCAAAGGGAGCAATCATTTTCAGTAGCCGTTTGTGGTGCACTCCATCGAATGCCTTTTCCATGTCCCCAAGCAGAATTATGATTGCGTGTTCTGAGTCAATGAAATCCGAAGCATGGTTTAGATAATGCAATTGGCAGATTATGCAAGATCGTTTGTCCAAGAAATCATGCTGAGACCTGTCGATGCATTTCATCACACCATTCTTAACCATTTTCTCTAATATTCTGGCTATTACAGGAGTGTGATGGATTGGCCGGTAATTATTAATTTCTTGTTTGGAGCCACCTTTGTGACGTAGGATGATGAGCAATGTTTTCCACTGGTCTGAAAAGTAGCTTGGTTTCAACGAAAGGGTAAACATGTTCAGCAATAGCAACGACATGTCAGGCCCTCCCTGTTTTATGGCGGTAGGCGGGATACCATCGGAATTCAGATGGGACGACTGTTTGATGGAATTCATTAAATGTTGGACAGCAATGATAGAAAATTCAACGTTACGCGGGGCGTTGGTTGTTTGCACCCCAATGCTTGCATTTAACGGGGTCGTCTCCAGGCTCATGGAGGTAGCGAAAAATGAGCTAAACGCTTCGCAGATGTTGGCTGGATCATGAAAGGACTGTCCGTCTTCATTAACTAGTCCATGGATAAAGGGGAGTGGTAATTAGTTCTGCGACGAAGAATTTTATCAAGTTCTTTTGTTTTACATGTTGTTCGTAGAGCTGCTTGTTCTTCGTGTATCCTCTTCGTTAACTGTATGCGCTTGACCGTGGCAATGATGTTGTGCAACTGTAAAGGCAAGGGGAAATTTCCCGTCTTTCGGTATCCAGCACTTAGTGTTCAGTGTTTCCGGCTGATTGAATGAACGGTTGCGTCTTTTTGGACCTGTGACCCCTTTTATCTTGCTGAGTACGGACAGCAATGACCTGATGGACCCGGTGATCGAAATAGTCCACGACAGTGCATATTGTTAGAGAGAAAAAATGCGTCCCTATCGGATAACTTGTTGGAATCTCTTACAGTTTATGTTTTGGTTTGCATATTGCGGAATATAAGCGTGTTTGATGGCCAGTTTGACGCAGAGAATCGTACCATCTTGTGATCACTATTAGAGGGTTTGTCTACTACCTCTGTTTGTGCACTTGTGACCCCCAAAGTGAATACGAGGTCGAGTATACTGGTCGCTCTTGTTACTTCTGTAACCCACTGTGTCCACCCACCATTTCTGAGAGAGGAAAGGAATGCTGTATGTGTAGACGAGGATGGTTGGACGGACCAGGTAATTTTTGTTAGGTTAAACTCACCAGTAATTAACTTCTGTCTGTGTGGTATCTCAGCAGGAAATTCGAAAGCTGAAATGATGGTTACACTCGCGGTTGACGCAGTTGTCGGGTTGTAAACACATCCTAGTAGAATGTGAGAACCCGTTCCTGAAACGGACAACCAAAGATATTCGAGAACATTGGTTAGCTGTGTATGAGCAACAAGTTCTGCTGCGAACTTACCGTGTAGGTATATCATGCATCCACCTCCATTGCTTGTACCGCGATCTTTTAGGAAGAGATGATAATTTGGAATCATTATGGTAGGGTCTAATGTATCGGGGAGAGCACCACGTTTCAGTAACAAGGATTGCTTGTGGGTCGTTGATATGCACAAGCATGCCTAAGAAGTACGATTTATTTTTAATAGATCTGGCATTAAGAAGAAGTACAGAACGCGGACTATTAGGTTTGGGGTCATCGGGTTGCGATTCGTTGTTATATTCTGGTACTATGGATGCAGGAGATATGAGTTGGAGTAGTTGGGTCGAGTCTATTCATAGCAGGCATAGTGATATGGGTAATGTGTCATTTGTGAATGCCGATATTGCTGTGGACATGGAGGTGGTTGAGGGAGCAAGTCTAATTTGCGGTTGGCGTGGCAGTTGGCTAGCCAAGTTATCTGCAAACATTGCAGGAACAGTCGGAACAGGTAGTTGGCTTCTGCCTGGTATGTAAAGAGTAGTAGTAATGACGCGGTCCCATTCCTTCCTGTACTAAAAACTGGTCATACTGAGGGGTGTTGGGAAAGGCTGCACACATATGAGACGCGATGGGAGGGTGGCCTTGTCCTCGTGACATAGCTTATTCTGTCATTATTACTGTGCCTGATTTTGTGTTATGGAAGGTAATTATGGCGAGGGGTATCCAAAGGACTTATGTTTTTTTTGTCTGTTCAAGATGTCGCTGTATATAGTGTTGGTGCAATGTATGTTGATAGATCTTATTAGTTTCTACCGTGTTCATCATAGGCTTAAATGTTTTGTTGGATCTGGTGAGTGCCTGTGGCTGATGTTGCATTCTTGATGCTTCTTCACCGCAGTTGGGCTAAATTAACTTACACTTAAACTAGGTCTTTTTCAGCTGGATAAATTTCATTCCGCTTTATTTGGTTTGTTCTGCCTCCCTGAATAATGTTCTAATAACTGACCACGTTGCTTACACTAATTGCGCTTCGGTAATTTTGTTGCGTTTGTAGCATTTTAAGTAACTTGTGGACATTTCTTACTTATCACGGATTCATTGCTAACCAACTTACTTCATATGGTAATTTAGCGAAGAGTTATGCCACCGTATCTGTATGCATTATTGGATTAATTTTATTTCAGCTTGTCGTTTAAATTGAATGGCTGTAGTTTGATATCCCTGGTATGGTTGCGCTTGATGTGTATGTTGACAAGGTGCCTACCTGTCTATTACCCACTACATCGTTCATACTGGCTCCAGGAGACAGTTGGTCGTTGCTGGAGGGGACGGGGTGCACGGTTCTTGTGGCCGTGCTAGGCTCAAAGAGCGGTTCCATGCACTCAGTGTGGAGCGGACTACGGTCCAGCCACCGCCTTGTGTGCGGTTGATTCCC